GTTCAGTAATGCCACTACTGTTCCTGTAGTTGTGCTACTACAAGTCTTAAGCCTGATTTATAGATTGCCTTCCTTTTTTCCTTCCCCTTGTAAAATATGAACAATACGAACACCGTAGTGCTGTTTACAGATTCCCGTACCCTTAAAATGCCGTTCTTTTCTCAGATTTTTTCTTATAACTTATTATAAAAAATGGCAGGTTAAAATACTTATATTTTGGTGTTTACAGGTTGTTACTTATAACAGCTTTTATTACTTATGTAGTTTTTTTTAAATTAATTACTTATTCATACAAAATTTAACTTCTTTTTAATCATAAAATTCAAAGGCACCCATGTTCAAATTGACAACATTCTTAAAGTTGATGTTAAAATAAAAATTTAATATAGATAATTATCTTATATGTATAATAAAATACAGTAGATAAATATAAATACAAATACCAGTAAAATTAAAACTAAATTTATTAAATAATAATAATAGGTCCAAGCAATACTTTGTACCTCCATGTGATAAATAGCTAAAACAATAATTAAGTTAATAATTTAAAATTTATATTATCAGCTATAATATAGGACATTCATAATGCACGAGATAATCAGGCCAATTCACTAACAGAGTCGTTAACGTTAGCCACTAGAATCAGTGGTTATCGGCTAATACGACCTATCAGGCCGATTAAATATAACGATAACCACTAATTCTAGTGGCTAACCTTAATGACTCATGTTAGTCAATTGGCCTAAATTATATGAAAATTAAAAGCACGCTTGATAACGCCGAAGGCGGAGGGCTGTTACCAACAAACGTGCTTGAGAAAATTGATGTCAGAGGGATCTTCGGTCAGAATTTTTTTTAATAAAACCGTTGCTTCTTTAAACTTTTTCCCATCTTTTTTCCTCATTTTCACAGCTCAATCTTTCAGTATCAATGTAAGTTCGCTTATTTTCGTTCACAGCAAAACTGCATAAATATTCCCCACGTATATGTGTAACTGTTTGTGGTAGTTTCTAAATTTTTTCTTTGATTATTGCGTTAATTGAATTGATTATTTTTTTTGACAGTTCTCTGTATTGTTGGGACATTGTTGAGGCATTGTTGTTGAGGGAACCTACAGCGAATTACAGCGATAATTTTTTGAAAATTTTCTCTGGTAGTTGCTATATATAAAAAACAAATTAAATCTTAATTAAATGTTGTTTTATTCATTATGAAATTCTTATTTGTTAACTGTACATGGTGCAATTCTATTGGCCGACATTTGGGACGGAAAAATAATCCCCCGAATACCACACGAGCTTCAAAATTATCTGGCATTTCCCTCAAGGTTCCCTGCAAACAAATAAAGTCGTCAAGTTTTTCAGGAAAAAAAGGATTTTTTAACCTGAAAAACTTGACTCCTTCATTTGTTTGCAACGAACCTATCGGGAAAAATACCCGATAATTTTGAAGCTCTTGTGGTATTATAAGTGAAAATTCCACACCTGTAATTTTTAACCAATCAAAACGTGTATTTTTGATAGATCACCATGGCAACGGTTGAATTTTAGTGGAAATTTTTTCCTCGTGGGTACCCAACAGCGAATTATACTGGAAATTTTTTTGACGTTTATAATGGTTTTTATTTGTTTACATGATAATTTTGATACATTTCGATTACAAAGTTTAGATGTTTTCTATATTCGTTGGACACCTCCTTTCTTCTTAATGGCGAAAATGCAGGACTTGAAATAAATTAAATGTCTATGTCTAATGAAATATATATATAATATTTAGACACTATTCTATTCACCTTTTTTTCCATTTAGCACTTTGAGTTTTGAATAGTTAAGATGCAAATATTCGTGAACAATTCAAAACAAATTTTCTTTCTTTAAGTAGGAGCCACAATCCTCTAATAATGCGGGTAAATAAGTCATTGCACGATGATTGATCATTAGAGCAGACAATTTCACATTTTTTTACGTCGTGCCGCTTGACAGCTTCAAAACTGAAATAACTTTTAGGTTAGGGTTGACTTAGTTGCCATGGTAACTAAATAATCAAGTCGAGGTCAAGTTAAATCAAAAAATAAATTTTAATTATTTAAACACAATTTGGTGTGGAATTTTCTTACCGAATACCAAACGAGGTCAAATTAAATCCGGAAATTTTTTCTCCCTCATGAATATTTTTAGAAAATTATCCCTCGTCTTCGACTCGGGATAATTTTCAAAATATTCATGAGCTCGAAAAAATTTCCGGAAATAATTTGACCTCTAGTGGTATTACTAGTGAAAACATCCCTGACTGCTGTCAGTTAAATGTTGAAATGATTGGGTGATTTGTGTTACATGACAAAAAATAAAAACATTTAAATAGCTCGGGGATGGCGAACCTATGGCACGCGTACCATGAGTGGCACGTTTTAAATTTTTCTTGGCACGTTTTGAGAACAAAATTGTATACTTTCATCTTCATAACACTTACAAAAATTTACTTGTGGCACTTACAATTTAGAAAAAATTTTGACACGCACACTTAAAAAGGTTCGCCATCCCCGAAATAGCTGTAGGATCTTTAAAAAAATTGTCTTACCAATTTATTACAGTAATTTAATTGCAACTTTATTTTTTTATTTTAAGAGTGTTTCTAATTGCCCAAAAAACTGGAATTGTCATCTTAATAAATAAAAAACTGTTTAGGATCAATTACTTGATTTTTAAAAGGATTGTCCCGGTATTGATGAATTGAGTTTTTCAACATCTTGTTAGATGTTTCCTTTTTACAAGGCAAATGGCTGTCTGAGAATTTGAAATGGTAATCACTGCACTTCTCTCCTGTATTTAATTACAAATAAAGTAATAAAATAACAAAAAATAAACGTATAGGTTAAAACACAGAATATAAACAAAACAATTATCAACTTTTTTTTATTGTCAACGCGCATGCTTACGGAATGCGGTACAGGAATCTATAAATTGACTTTTTAGAAGACATACATATCGTACACTGAGAAAAAGTTAATTGCTGGGCAATAAATATTTAAGCCTCCCAAATAAAAAATATTTAAATATGGAACAAGGGTAGGTACAGTTTATTTAGCCCAAATATATTTTTTTTCTGACACAGAGTATTTGTCCCAAATAAACCGTTTATTGAAGCCTGTTTATTGGTGGCTCTAATAAACTGTTTATTAATTACAAATAACTGTTTACTTTTTACAATTATTTATTTATTTATGCCAAGTAGCCTAATAAGTAGGTTTAGCCTTTGTATATTTATCACAAATAACTTCCCAGGTAGCACACTGACGTTAATATGACGTCTTCTGACGTTTAAATGACGTTATCAACGTCATTTCAACGTCATATAAACGTCAGCAGACGTCAGTGTGCTACCTGGGTTAGTAGGGGAGACCGGGGCGGAATGGGGACTCTAACGTTTAAAAAATATTTTTATTAGGATAGAGACGTGGTACAAATTCAAAAAAACGCAGAACGATTTATTAAAGTATTATAAACAAAATACAAAAAAAAATTAACATAAATGCTTAACAATTTTTTTTATTATCGTATTAAAAAAAAGTGTCCTTTACTCCATTCCGCCCCGCCTACGGGGCAGAATGTGGTTATCGGGCTTACACAATTCACAGACAAGTTCTGCATCGTCGTCATCACTCTCTATCCCCGCACACGAATTGTGAGCCCACTTTTGGCACTGTGTGCATAAAATCCAACCCTCAAAAGAAGTGGAAAATGGGTATATACAATATATATATATATATATATATATATATATATATATAAGTTATGAAACTAAACAAAATTTCACCACGTTTAGTCTAAAACACACTAAAACGTTTGTAGTAACCCGTTTGTCATTACCAACTGACGTGTTGGCCTTCTAGTAAATGATAACTAAGGACGATAGTACTATCGATCGTCTGCAGCGGGAAATTTAAATAAAACACCGTTCTGCCCCGGTACCCCGTTCTACCCCGGTCTCCCCTACACTTGTAATAATTAAAACTTATATTTTGGGATAGATATTTACCCCAAACATACTGTTTATTAATAACAAATAACTATTTATTGTTGGTATTTAGTTATTTAATTGTGGTTATTACTATGGTATCAGAAAAAAATATATCAATAGTTATTAGGTCGATTATTTAGGGTTAATTAAAAATATTTACTAAAAATAAAAAAGTGTTAGATAAAAAGTTTATTTGACCGATTTTTCTCAGTGTAGGCAGGAAGGCAATCTATAAATCAGGTTTTATAGTATAAGAACGGCGAGTGCATTTTGTTGTAGTGTGCTGTTTGCCACAGTCCAACCCACAGATTCCTCGAGCGTGTAGTTTGCCGCACGAGCGTAGTGGTTAAGGTAACACGCGAATGGAATCTCCTCTTTTGACCATTAGTCGCACACAATATTTTATTTAACAACCACAAAGTAAAGCCTTTGTATTTAAAATTTTACATCAGACAGCTATTAATTAGTTTTAGCCTTCCTTGTTTCCAAATTTAACTTAAAGCCAACTTTAGCCCGTGGTCAAAATGCTATTTCACCCACCAATTAAAGTTAAATGAAATGGGAGTTAAATAAAAGTATAATAAATGACTATTGCCATAAACCGAAATTTTTTTCGATTTATAAATTATTTTTGCGTATCGTACTGTTGCCATGTATCGTACTGTTTATTTTATTTTAGTATACAAATAGAAAGAGAATAGAAAAATTAACCACCACAGAGGTGGTTTAAAATATTAGTGAAAAAATGTTTACCAAAAAGCCAACAATATTAGGCTTGGCGCTTTACCATTTTATATAAAATTTTAAATAATATGCATATTTATTTGTTTATTTTCTTAACAATTTACTAACTAATTTTTTTTAACACTGTCATAATGTGATAAAAATCTTAAATTTTTTTGTATTTGTTAAAAACAACATTTTATTTATATTGCTTGATGTTTTATATTCACAATTTATTGACTACTATTTTTTTAATCTAGACCATCATCACGGACATTCAGGACATTCTGGACTTCTAGTACTTAAGAAAATACCCCATGACGGTAGAGAGTTTAGCGCATCACACGATTTACCTGTCAAAGTACCCAGTTTTAAACCTATAGAAACCGCAGGTCCTAGTTTCGCCACAATTTTCGGCAAATTCTTTAAGGCTTCCACATCCTTGGACCCACACCAACCTGTTGGTTTTGGAGACAGTGCTCCTGCGGCTACCATAGAGACCGAATCTCATGTTTACCACGATTCTGAACCAGTTCAGCCTACTGGCGCAGGTGTTAAGATACCTTCAACCAATTATGGTACTCCTTTTGAAGAAGAACCCCATTTTCTTAACGAATATTCAGCGGCCTCCCAAAAACGTCCTGTAGTGGTAAAACATCCTAATTCTTTGATTACTAATCCTACTTTCCCAAGTAAGCAACAAAGCAAACCCTTGGAAGATTTAAAAGGTCCCCATCCAACAGCTAGTGCTTTGAAAATTAATAATTATTTGGGCAATTTAAAACAACTAAATGTTCCTCCATCAACAGGAGCATCTCAACAAAACTTTTACACTCTTAATATGGATACTTTTCCACCATTTCCTGAAGAGCTAACACCAGAATTGCTGGAAATGTATAATAAACCCAATGAACCTGCTCCTGTTAGGCCTTCTGTAAATAGTTTTCTTCCAACTCCGCTGGGCAATGACAATCTTCCTACTGCTTCGACGTTATTTAGACAAAAAAGACCAACACATAATTTAACAAAACCCACCGTACTTACACAACAACCTTTTGATGTAGTTAGATCAATTTCTTTTGAACTTGGACCTAATGGACCTAAACGACTGACTCGTCGCCAAACATGACGTACTACACCGAGGTAATAATTTACCTTTTAACGTAAAATTCGTATATTTGTTATTAGTTAAAATATTTTTATTTTCAGGAACCTACACGTACTACGATCACCAGTATGATCCATTTTACTGAAGTTAAAAAATATTAAAGTGATGTTGTAAATATTTATTTTTTTACCTTCTTGTAAATAGCATGTAGTTTAATTATAGATAAGCCATAATGCTTAATTAATTTTAGGTTATCAAAGGTTTGAAATATTATTTATTATTATATAATGTTGTCTGAGAGATATATGTTAGTCAAAAACCATAATAGTCAATATTTATTTTTAACAATTATTTTTATAATAAATGGTTTTGTTTTCACAATTGTTTTATTTACACAATAGTTTTATAGGTGAATTAAATTTCTTCATAATATTATTATATTATGTATATTATCCACACTTACCTTTACGATATATTAAAATTATTTTATCTACTCCTATTGCATAATATTGTTTTTTTGTATATTTGTATTTTTTTTACTAACTGGAGAAGATAAAGTATAGTATTAAACTTAAGATTATGCGCATTATTCACTCGGATGATTTGGCTCTCTCGCCTAGCGACTCGAGATGCAAACCTCATCCTCGTGATTAATCGCCTGCAATATCAATCGAATAATACTTAAAGACCGCGATCAACCTGTTGGTTTCCGAGACCGAATCTTATAATATTAAATTATATTTTCCATGATTCTATGACTACTTTTGTTTACGGACGCGGGCCTTAAACATGCCTTTAATTTAAAGGCTTTAAATAATTATGGTTCTTCAAATATTCAGCATTCACCCAAAAACGTCCTGTAGTCGTAAAACATCATAATTTTTTTATAACCAATTCTACTTCTCATAGTAACATAGTAAACCCTAAGGAGCTGACACTACTGCACGGCCATTCCAAGCCCATGGACAGGACACATCAGAAACATGTCTAAATATATTCTTGTTACTTCCTTAAGTTTACTTATTTTTTCTACGAGTATTTATGAGAAGTATTAGCCAAATTTGGCTTATACTTCTCATAAATACTCGTAGAAAAAATAAGTAAACTTAAGGAAGTAACAAGAATATATTTAGACATGTTTCTGATGTGTCCTGTCCATGGGCTTGGAATGGCCGTGCAGTAACTGACTTGTTTAGGGAAAAAAGATCAACAAATATAATCAAAGAGTACCTAATTTAATAAATAGGTTTGTATAAAATATAAAGTATTTCTTATTTTGTTGGATGGATTGGATGATCCATATGACTTAGGTCTGGAGGATTTTTCTCAAATTCAGTGATTTCCTTCATTCCGCCTTTAACGATAGCCCAAAGTTCTGGATATTCCTTTTTGTAGGTTTCATACCATTGTTTAACCAATGTGTATTTTGAAAAATCAAAATTAATGGCCTCTAAGCACATTGTTGCCGTTACCAGTTGAAAATCAGCAATGGTAATATTATCTAAAAAACGAAGGATTTAGAATTTGTGAACATTTTAAAATCTGTATTACCGCGGCGCGCCGGTAATACAGATTTTCAAGTTGGTTAATCTATTGTTTTATAGATGTCGCTTTATACAAATATTTAATTTAAATCATTTTAAGATAATAATAAGTATTTGTCGTGAAAAAAGTATAGTATGCAACTCGTTTATAAACTTTTCTAGACACTCATTTAATTAAGTTCCTATCTTAAATGGCGTTTATCGAACTTAATACAAAATATATATACTATTAATAAACATTTAAAACTTAAACGACAGGTCATCGTCGACAAGTTCAAACAAAAATATAATAGACATTCATAAAATAATTGAACATTAACACTAATACGATCCATCTATAAATCTCTTAATATATTTTGTTTTGTCATAAAAAGGTTTTAATATTATTTATCTTAAAACTAATTGGTTTTGTTGTAGACTTAAACTGACCTTAAAGTTAGCTTTAAACATATTTTAAATTATCTTAAAGTGCCTTAGGTTGACTTTTTGGTATTAAAATAGCCGATGCCAGAACCTTAATAAGAGTAAAGAGTTTTAATAAAGACATTTATTTTCCTTTTATAGCCTTCTTGAAGGCTATAATAAAACTAAAAATTTTGTATTAACCAGGCGCATACGCTATTTTAAAAGTATTTTAAATCAATATTTTTCATAATAATTATTAGAAACATGACTAATAAAGGTTATGTTATGTTATGTTAGGTACATTTATTAATAATAAAAACAGAAATATTGAAATTTTAATTTAAAATTAAGGGCTACGTACTTAATGAAAAAAGGTTTTATTTCAAAGTAAATTTTAAATTACAATTGTTCCCTGTTCTTTTTTATTAAAAATTTAACACCTTTATCCACTTATGCCTTCAATTCTCATTATTATTTTATTTTACTGCCCTGTGTCGTTTGTCATAATTTTTAAATACCTGGATTTACCGTGGATTTATAATTTATTATATTTATATTTTTACTTGTATATTTGCAATCTTTTAATCAACATATTATCTCTGTTTAGTAATTATGGTTTTAGCCACGCTATTATTCATAAAGAAATCAAATTCCCTTGGAACATTTTATAAGGTTATTCAAGCAGATCTAATATTAAATGAAAAATTAAATTTATGATCCGAAACCAAAAAACAATATTACATTTTTTTAAATGCATTAATGACCGCTTTTAATTGAAATATTCTTATTATATTATAATGAAAATTTTATACTATAAAAATATTACCCATAAGCCATTTTTGCAAAAAACATCAAAAAATCCTAAAATATTTAATACCAACTTGTAATAAAATAAACGTATTGAGACACAATCTTATAATTAGAAATTACCTCCAGCTGCATATTTAGTTTTAGAACGCTCAAAATAAGTGTTAAAATTATCCAACGCTATGAAAGTTTTTTTGAGACTCAATGGTGTTCTTTGATACTTAAAAAATATGGGCGCCATCTAAAAATGAATTGGAATTACAATTTTTTTGTAGTTGTTTATACTTACGACATGTTCTGAAATGTATCTGTAATATGTAGATAAGTTAAAGCAAAGCCTGTGGTTTACAATAGCTCTTGCTTTCGGATCTTTTGGGTAAAGATTATCATTTTTTCCATATTGATCCGCTAAATACTGAAGGATGGCGTTGCTAAAAATGGTTGTTTTAGTCAAAACATGTTTTCTTACTCATTAACTATGTTATTTTTTTTAATATGTGGATTTCTCATAAAACTCCTAGGGGATGATGAGCAACAAACTACCGTGACGGGTTTGTCGTTGTAAAGCATTTTTAAGCACAAATAGTTTAAGAGGAGTCGTTAGGACTTCTGAAACCCTATGGAATATATCCTCCATGTTTACACCTGGATAATTTTATTTATTACAAGCCCCTTTACTTACAATTACTTTACAATTTTCTTAAATAAAACAAATTATTTTGTTGTTGCTAGCAGAAATAAACATACCATAATTTATAGGAACTTATGCTATACAAAGCAGATTTAGCGATATAACCTAATGCCGGTTTTCCACCAAACGGACAAAACACAAACTCGTGTCGAATAAAACAAAACTGCAACTTTTTTCAAACTTTTTAAAGACTGGCGTGTTTTGCGACAGTTTGAGTTTTGTTTTTCGAGTCCCGCTCGAAAGCGGTAACATCAAAAGGTTTCGACGTGTTTTGAAACTCGAGTCTGTTTAGTGGAAACGGTCGTGTTGTGTTTTTTGTTTTCGACTTTTATTTTATTTTGTTAGTCTGGATACGAATTTCATACTAAATTGGTAGGTAAGTAAGAAACATATTTTTTCCAAGTGTATAATAATATTCATATTATATTCCTCATAAGTCTATATAGAAATATTACAATTTAGTTACGAATAGATACGAATTTCATACTAAATTGGTAGGTAAGTAAGAAACATATTTTTTCCAAGTGTATAATAATATTCATATTATATTCCTCATAAGTCTATATAGAAATACTACAATTTAGTTACGAATAGATACGAATTTCATACTAAATTGGTAGGTAAGTAAGAAACATATTTTTTCCAAGTGTATAATAATATTCATATTCTATTCCTCATAAGTCTATATAGAAATACTACAATGTAGTTTTTTTAAATTTTGTAACCTCATTTTTAGGTTAGGTTTAACTGTCAGACGACAAAATGTCACCATTATTGTTCGGCGGTCAATAATTTAACTTTTGAACTAGTAGTCACTACATTATTGTACTACAATAATGGTGACATTTTGTCGTCTGACAGTTAAACCTAACCTAAAAATCAGGTTACAAAATTTCAAAAAAATATCGAAATTTAGAGCTTGAAAAAAAATATTATATAAAACATGGCGGCGAAAGCTTATTAATTACCTCGCACACAACCTACTGCCTCGGCAGTAAAATGTCATGGATAAGTTTAATAGATACATATATATATATATATATATATATATATATATATATATATATATATATGGGCCAAAAACATTGACTATTTTTTTTTTGAAAAATATATCGAGAATGTCATTCAGAATGACAAAAAAAAATTTGGTGAAAATTTAAGCCCTTAATATTAATATTAATTTTATTTAATTTTATTTTAGAGATATATATCTATATATATCATCGCTATTTTTGATTTTTAGTCATAATTTGATGTTTTAATTAATTTAATTCTTCAAAAGTTTTTCACGAAAAAGTATAAACCAGCCACAACTAAGAATAAGAAAATCTTTTTCTCTAAACATGTTGGTTGATACTGAAAAAGTGGGTTCTGACATAATCACGACAACTAGTGGAAAAGGACCGAAAACAAAAACAAAACTCGAACAAAACTTAGTTTGCTTGATGGAAACAAGAGTTTCGGGTTTGTTTCAGTTTTGTTTTTGATTTGCAAGTTTTTAAAAACACAAACAAAACCCAAACTCAACTGTTCGTTTAGTGGAAAACCGGCATAAGACAGTAACTTTTACTATAGCAACAAATGAAAATGACAGTTGAATATGATTTTTTTGAAAATCTATCAAAATAATAAAATTAAAAGTAAAAAATGTATCTCGGTATCCTATTAAAAATATCATACTTTTTCACAAAAACGAAAAACTGGGAGAAAACTTGAAAATACTGACACCATTGAATTTACTGGGCCATACCGATTTTCCCAATGTTTAATTTAATGAAATTAAAAGAAACCGATGGGTAAACCACTTTAAAATCAGCGAGACCAGCGTTTAACGTTATGTGAATCCTCTAGTATCAAAACCCCTTAAATCCGTTTTGATAAAATTGAGATACATCCCTGATAACACACTTTATTCTAAGAATGTTTTTTAAACCTTCCAGTGAGAATATTCTTAGGATCATGCTATATTTCTTCTAAAGAACACGCTAAAAAGAAATATAGCATGATCCTAAGAATATTCTTACTGGCCTATAGGCACAGTGGGCCTGAACTAAAAAAAGGTTGCATGAAAATGACACCAAAATCGGGCTTTGGATCTTTAAAGATTTACATTAAGGGAGTTGAGATCGAGTGAAAACAAAATCGCATCAGATCCTCAATGAATATAACAGCCAATTGTTTGTGGCGTTCATATTGGTCTAGAAAAACTCAAACTACGTAAATAATAAAAACAAAAAAACAGCAAATTACAGTTGCAAATAAACTTTAATAGGTTTTAATTATTAAATGACAAAAATAAATTAATTTTAAATATGTCGAGATGAAGATTCGACCACCGCTTTTTTAAGCCGGTCTAGATAGTTAGGATCTTCTATTGAATTCATTTTATATCGTTCCCAATACTTCAAAAACTCACGGTGAACCGATTCTCCTGCCTGTTCAGACCAAAGACCCAAACCGAAACCACCAGGTTCAAAAAATGCAGCGAATGCTGTATATGTTCCAGACACACGTAAATTTTCAAGCTCTCGGATACGCCCACAGCCTCAAACGCTTTCCGTAAAGCCTTAATCCGCTTATCAATTTCAAGAGAGGCAATGTTGGTAGAAAATGAGCTTTCGACGACTTTATTCGCCGACACGTATTTCATAATTCTAAATACACCTACTTCACCATAAATTTCTGGACCCAAGAGCATATCTGCTTCTTTTAGTAGCTTACGGCATGAATTCCCTTCGAAAGTTTCGCCTTGATAGTTCTTTGCAACCAATTTTAGTTTCTTTGGCCACTTAAGAGCCCGATCGCGACCTAATAATGGCACCAATCCATTCCAAAATAAATGATTAACGTACCCTTGCAAGACGTGTAGCTCTGGAATAACACATTTTTCTATGACGTAGACTTCATCATCCTCTTGAAACAAAGGGGGATTTATTGTGCTATGGCAATCTCTGGCAAAAATTTTATTTTTTCCAATTGATTAAAATTTCTCGTAGCTATTTCTTAAGTCTCCATAGATTTTCAACTTTAAACATTTCGCTGATGTTTCTTGAATACAAGCATCATTACTTTCTCTATAGCTTTCAGAAGAAAAACATGTTTCTGTATCTATTTTTATTTCATACTGTACTTTAATGTGCCATTTCCCGGAGTCATTTGAGTCCGGGAAATGATACATTACATCACTAGGCCGGTAAAGTAACTTTACCGGACTCGTATATTTTAACTAACACATGGTTATTTCTGAACGATTATAAGTTTTTGCGCCACTTACAGAATATCTCGTATTCCTTTTGATATCGTCCGGAAGACTTGACCGGGATAAGTTTCGCCGTCGCTTCAGAACTTTTTTTCAAAATCTCTGCATCCATTTTATTCGAAATTATTCAAAACCACAGATTCAAAACGATGCTGAACTGACAGACAAGACAATCAATAAAAAAACTCTTTGTTACTGTTAGCAACCGATTTAAAGCATACTACATTATCACCCTATATTACTGGTGCTACATTTTATTTGTTTAGACAATACTGATACCATCATGTACTGACACATTACTGACACCTTCACCTGAATATACAGTTCAATTTTTGTACCAAAAATTTGAAAAAAATATTGAATAGTATGAAATAAAACATTGTACGATACACGGCCGTGAAATGTCATTAAAGTACTTGTCTAGAAATTCCAGACTCGGCTCCTTCGTCGCCTCGTCCGTAAACATCTAGACTCGTACTTTAATAAGCCATTTCCCGGCCTTGTAACGTAAATTACTATTTCAGTCTCAACGGGATGTTCCTCAATTCCTCTCAAGGTTCTTAAAGATATGAAACAGTACGGACAGGGATACGACGCTGTTGCCGTTTGCTGACCATTGACTATTAAAATAATTTTAAAATCTGCAACGAATTTGAAGGAAACATTATTAATTTTAGTCAATTTAAAAAGCAAATCCATGTTTTCATATGTCTCTTTTTTCTGTGGCACAATATACAGCATTATTAATCTGTGCACACCAGTCGATTTTCTTTCCCTGTTTACGCTTCCACCTTGGCTGTAAAGAGTTCTCTTCTTTTCGGTTATGGAATCCCCTTCATCCTCTTCATTTTCATGGATCGTATTTTCATCAGGATTATAATTTTCAGGCATAATTGTTAAGCAAATTTTGAAAAAACCCTGTCCACCATCAGCCATTACTTTTAGAGCTACATTTCCAGTTTCATTTCTTCGTTCAATAACCTCATTTAATATATCTTCAGCATCACACCATACAACCGGCCTCTTTGCTTTTTTGTTATCCGCGTATTTACCTTCTATTTCAAACTCAAATTCATTAATTTTGTAGAGAGGCTCTAGAGCCGTAGACAAGTTCTTTTTGTACCGGACAGCTACCGACTTACGCCCAGCACAGCAGCGTATACAATTTGTAAGCAATTTAATCTGATTAGTAGAAGTCCCAGAAGCTACTTGATAATGGTACAGACCTCCAGATGAAAATTTTACGTCTTTTTTTACTTTAGAATTGACAGTCAATCGTTCCCTTAAGCCTTTTGTAGCTAAGTTGATCGTTTTATTTTGCAAAATTTGTTTTTTGCCGCTGAATTTTTCTGAATTAACTATTTTGTCGCTTATCAATGATGTAATAACTTGCTCTTTTTGCCTCTCTGGGAGATTAACGATCAATTTAAGGGCATTTTTATGTGTCTCTGCTGCTGTGCAACAATGCTTTAAACCTTTACCAATTTTGAACAAGCATCTGTCGCAGTATTCAATTTTGCGCTTATGGTATTTTTTAAGTATATTTTTGGGTCCCACCTTCGTGGTAGAAATATTTTTTAAGCCGTTATCAATAACTTGATTCGGATTTCGAGTGTGTCCTCGGCCCTTAATCAAATTTTCGTGTCCCTTGAACCTCGCAGTTGAGCAAATGTAACAATTGCACTCTTCATTGCTTCTAGTGGCTTTTGGTAAACGTAAGACTTCAAAATTTGGAATGATCGGTAAAGGTCTTTTTATAACATTTTTCTCTCGATCTGTGAGGGCAAGGCGACAAGTGGTGCAAATAGCAAGAGGAAAGCAGGGATCCATTATTTTAAAATTATTATTTAAGAAGTTTTCAGTAACGTTTGCATTCTTTCATTAATTAGAAATTTTGAATAATTAGTTTTTCCAAAAATATCCTTTTTTCCGCAGGCAGCACATACTTTTTTTCTGTTTTCTTCATGGCTACGTTTTAGTTTAGAGTGAGTTTTCATATTTTTTAATAAAACGGGTTAAAAATCACAACCAGCCAGATAAGAATTAACTTTGACAATTATTTTCATGGCCTCCACATGAGTATAATCTAAAAGAATTGGTAAATTTTCACTTTAGCGACTTTTCCGAAAAACGGCAGGAAAGTTGCCAAAATGCCAAAAATAGGTGTGGAGGGATGTAAAAGTGCATAAACAATCGGCGCAGGGTGAAAAAGTTGTATAATTATCGCGTATTTAATAAAAAAGGGGCTGATAATTGAAGTGACTTACCGTGATTTTCTGTGAAAAAGAACATGCAGCGAGCCAAAAACACGTATCTAATAGACGTAGAATTTGAAAGTGGAAGTGAAAAAGCGTGAATTATGAAAAACAACTTCATGAATTGAGGAAAATGCATTTTTTAAAATCAGGTAATTTGAGGTTATGAAGATTAGCTGTCATCTTGGTTATGCAGGTACACTAAAATGGGCAAAGGTGAGCGAAACCAACCCAAACCAACCCAAACTTAACAACCCAACCCAACCGACCCCGCCCCATTGGCCCCCCCCGCCCCATTGAGCAATAGAGGTATAATATATCTATGGGCAAGCTGGATTGTGAACCTGCATAACCTCAAATTACCTGATTTTAAAAATTGCATTTTCCGCAATTTATGACGTTGTTTTTCATAATTCAAGCTTTTTCAATTCACTTTCAAATTCTACGTATATTATATATGTGTTTTGGCTCGCTACATGCTCTTTTTCACAGAAAATCGCTGTAAGTCACTTCAATTATCAGCCCCTTTTTTATTAATTACGTGATAATTATACAACTTTTTCACCTTGCGCCGATTGTTTATGCACTTTTACATCCCTCTACACCTATTTGTTGCATTTTGGCAACCCCCATGTCGTTTTTCGGAAAAGTCGCTAAAGTGTAAATTTAATAAAGAATTTTGTAAACATGGGGAACAATAAAAAATCAATAAAATAAAAAATTATGATTTTTACCGAACTCAAACAAGAATTGGCTATTTTATCCATTGAAGATCAGGTGCGATTTTGTTTTCATTTGATCTTAACTCCTTTAATTAGTCTTTAAAGATCCGAAGCCCGATTTCGGTGTCATTTTCATGCAACCTTTTTTTGGTTCAGGCCCACTGTGAGGCAGGTTCTTAGAAGGTGCAAAGTTTTAGTGGTAAAAATTGGTCAACTCTAAACATATGCTTAGAATGTTAAGAAAGTAATTGCTATATAAAGTTCATTTAGGAATATTCCTGTTAAGCATATTTAGTTCAGTTACCTATATAATAGTAAAATATACCATAAACTACGTATAAAGGTATACTTATACCCATACTTAAGTACCAAATTAATTAGTAATTAGTATTAAATACTAAGTAAAAAACACAATCCAAAATATTTTTTTATAGTTATTTGTTAAATTAAAACAATATTCGATAACAAAAATACTTTTACTATTTTTAGGTATTTTTATACCTATATAGATATTTTATGTTAAAAATAAATATTTATTAATTTGTATACCGATTTTTTATTTCTGAATTAACATTTTTATGTATAATAATCCTAACTATCTTCAACTTCTCCCACAAAATTTTCCAATTTTACTTTTTATGAAATAATGTCATACAACTTATGGTTTAGAGATCAAATTGTTTATTTAATATTTTTAAATAAATATATAATGTCGCAAAATTTTTTAAGGGGACGACAAATACATTTCACTGTCATATTATGACAGTGAGGCGTATTTGTCGTCTCCTGAAGAATTTTGCGAATGTAGAATACAATATATTAGAACGTGGGTATCTGACATATTTGGGAATATTCTCAAAAGCTTCCTAGAAGCTCCATAAGAAACCTTCTAAGAACATTCCAAAAACGCATTCTTAAAATGTTCTTGGGATGCTTTTAAAGAAGGTTTTACAAAGCTTTTAAGGATCTAATTGTATCATTAAAAGGGTATCTATTGAATGTTTCAAAAGTCCCTAAGAACATTCTTAGCAATAAGGAAAGCTTCTAAGAATATTCGATAATTCCGGGTCATATCTTCTTAGAAGATTCTTAAAATCAAATTTTGCTATCAGGGATGCATTAAAATATTCCTACCTATCAATATGTGCATAGAAATGGTTGAAAAAGCCATCAAATACTTATTTATAAAAAAATGAATATATACATTTCGTGGCTTTTTCAATCATTTGAATGCACAAATTGATTTTCATCAAAACGGATTTAAGGGGTTTCGATAATAGGGGATTCATGTGGACATTGTGATCCGATTTTTTCCTTATTAGTCGTTATCAATAAAAAAAACTCCTTATCAATAAAAAATGTCTCTTAGCGACGCGTTGCGCATGACTATCCTTGTGATTGTTATCCTTCGCCGTTAATCCGAATGCGTTTTTTAATTTTAAAAAATCAGTGGTTTACCCCTCGAAAAAAACTATAATATTTCATTCGTTTTATATAATTTATTCAAAAACGCTCAGCATCAAGACTTTTTTACTCAATGATCATGGACTTCCCGATTTTTAAAAAAACAAAACTTTAAAGCAATAAAAAGTGTATTTATAAGTTATTGTAAAATAATTCGTTTCTGAAATTGGTTTACTTAGGGCTTATTTCAATGCCACTTTATAAAATTGTTTTAAACTACTGCTAAGAAAATTGCTAATAAGTAAGATGAACCTGTTAAGTTATTTAGGTATGTAAAACTTTACGGAAAGTTTTAATAAAATAAAATTCAAGTTATTGGTAAATTCTTGCGAAGAAATTAAAAATGTTTTACAAATAAAAAGTAGGCTATTTTTATATATATTTTTCTACAACCCACAATTAAAGTGGGTACCCAGCTAACAAAGTGGTGTTCAAGTTGATATCAATGCGAGCTCAAGACTTGATTTTATACATCAAGCTTTGAGGTCAAAAACATATCAAGTTGGTTCCTCATTTGGGCTCAATGTGATATCAAACCTTGATTTTCGATTAAATTCGAATCGGATGCGCGCATGCGCTGCCTACTTTTGGCGGATTAATTCAAATATTTGAAAAAATCAAGTTATGGGTTTTGAAAGGAAAAAATACTGTTTATTTGATGCAAACATATCTAAATAATTACCAACTTAAATGCTAGCATTTAAATTGATAATTTTTTTAAATTTGGATATGTTTGCATCAAATAAACAGTCCTTTTGCCTTTCAAAACCCATAATTATATATAGTTATTTAGGTATTCTTGCATAAAATAAAATAGGCAATTAAAACACAACCAAAATTTATAAACAAAATATTAAAATATACAAAAAAACAATTTTTAAATTTGCTCCTTTTCAACAGTATCCTTATTGACTCTGTATACAAAACTATAGTTTTGAGGATTATCATTTGTTGCTTCACTTTCTGATGTTTTCTGCTGTTTTTTTAATTTGTTTGCCTCACGTTGTCTGTTGATTCTTAATGCTTCTTGAATGTGTGGCAAGAACTCTTTATTTGATGTGGGGCCTTCAAAACAAGACCATGTACAGCAACTGTAGACAGAAGAAATTGCCAATGAAAACTAAAACTTAATGAAAAAAGGATGAAAACATTAACTTACAATAGATTACGTGAAATAATTTTGTATCCTTTTATTATTTCCCAGAAAGGTGAACTCCATTGTCAAAATATCAGTTATCTCTTCTTTAAGAGCTGTAATTTGTATCAATAAAGGCCCTTTTATTATTATTTCCCAGAAAGGTGAACTCCATTGCCAAAATATCAGTTATCGTTTCTTTAAGAGCCATATTTGCACCAAGATTTTTAGTTAAATGAACTGCAATAAAATTTTATCTTTAATATAAACACTGGCACACATTCAACATAAACTCCATTGCCAAAATATCAGTTATCGTTTCTTTAAGAGCCATATTTGCACCAAGATTTTTAGTTAAATGAACTGCAATAAAATTTTATCTTTAATATAAACACTGGCACACATTCAACATAATATTATTTCAACCCACCAGACTTTTTCTTTCATTAAGTGTTTCACTGGACTTGAACTGGTTAAATTCTGCCCAATTTTTCAATGGAAATCCCTTCAACTGTTGGATGCTGGAAATTTTTGCGTCAAAACTGGTCCCCTCATACAAAGCATCAATTCTGTTTGACAAAGCTTTGAAGAATTTCCCTAAGAGAAATAATTCAGGTTAAGTTTTAGAATACCTGCATTTTCAACAGTATTTATAGTATATATTTACCTTTGATTTGGCAGAACTTCAGCAAGCTCTTGAAGTATTCTGCTTTCCTCTACAGTTTAAGCAGATGACCTAAAAATAAAAGTATATTATTATACAAGAGATAATGCAGCCTATTAGCCACGAGTTAATATTGCGCATTATCTCGAGTGTAATACTATGCTTTATCTACTCCAATTATGTAAATTTCATTAATAACAAACTTTATTATAACCTCACTTTCTCCTTATTTTGTTGTATTTATTTACAATGTTTTCCTTAAGAAAACAGTAACTAACGGATTTTAAGCTTACTTACCAATTTATTTTTAATATTAACTTTCACGACACAAGAATAATTTGCATATTGATGCACGAAAAAATCTCTGAATAAAGCCGGTTAAGTAGCCCGCGATTCGCGAAAGCTTGCAATTGCAATTAATGGCGGGCTTTGTAATTGTTTAAAAATATAATATTAATAATAATATTTATTATTATTAAAATTATATTTTAAACCATTGCAAAAGCCTGCCATTATTTGATATGGATTTACAATACTAACAGAAGTATACCCATAAGGTTTTTTTTATTCATCCTATACATATATGTATATAAATTTATAAATTATGACTACAAACCTTGGACCGACTTTTTTAGGTTAACTCAAAACTTGAGCTCACATTGATTTCAACTCTTGAGGTAAAATCAATGTAAGCTCAAGCATTGATTTAACCTCAAAAATTAAAATCAATGTGGGCTCAAGCATTGATTTAACCTCAAAAATTTAAATCAATGTGTGCTCAAGACAACATCAAAACTTGATAAATCAAGGTTTGAGTTTTGTTTGAACTCAAGCAATGTTAGCTGGGTACCTATTTAAAATGTTTTTCTTAATTGCTGTTTCAATTAACTTGCAATATTTTTGTTAGAAAATGTAACCCCTCTCAATGGTAACTAAATTGTCTTCTTTAAATACCTGTTTGTTCTTTAAGAAAAAGTAATAAATGTAAATTTTGACAAATATTTTATTTATTCTAATTTTATATGTAAGTACCTACGATTGGTTTTAATTTACATTTTTAATATTAATTACATTAGAATATCTATTACTTCCCAGTGCCTACCTATTGCTCTTAAATCGACCTTCATACACCTGAAAAAATGGAAGGTCAAAATTGCTTACCTCTCACCAAGAAAAAATCCATTGTCGTCTAATACTGGTATTTCTTTTTGGGGATTTTTCTATAAAATACATTAATAATAAAATATGTAAAATAAAATAAAAACATGTTTTAATAATTAAGGATTTTAAATTTTAGTTATGGAAGAAAAAATAAAAAACATTATATCAAAAACAGGATGTGAATTAAACATTTAGGTAACGGTTCAAAACTTTTAATTGTAAACTTTTTTTGATTGTTTTATGATTATAATTCTTAATAAATAAACTTACTTTTGCAAATTCTGCGGTCATATGTTCCCCAAGACCAAAATCCACATTGATCAAAGTAAAATCCAAATTAAGGGCTTTCATTGCCTGTCTCACCGCTAAAGACGGTGGTCCATCGGACACAGAGTATAATGTTAACGGCATTCTGTAAATAAATAAATTAAATGTATTTAACTTTGTTAATAACACATTTAGATAAGAAATTGTGGTAATGTTTGTTTTTATCTTACTTGTTTTAAGACTGGTAAATTGAAAATATAACCGAATGGAGAGAAGCCGACACAACTATTATAAATAAAGTCAAGGTCAAAAATACTTTCAAACGAGATTATGCCTATTCACTATGCAACTAACATCACAATTTAAAGTAAAATCTACTTTTAACAATAATGAGACCATAAGTAGTACCAAATTTCACTAACCGATTAAAGCGCTGGATAAAATGGTTGAAAATAGTGATTTTTCGAAAACATGATTTGTTATTATATTTTTTTGAACTCTTGGCCAAAATTATTTGAAAATGCTCTTATATAGAGTAAGATCTTTGGTAACTTCATTAAAAAATTTTGCTGGCAAGTTTTTTTAAGAATATATGAATTTATAAAATTAGACAATTTTGCCAAAAAATTGCATTTAAAAAAAAAAATCGCAAAGACCATTTAGGGCATCAATAACTAAATGTGTCCTATAGGTATATATATATATATATGGTTTAAAAGAGAAATATTTTCTTAACAATTAACAGTTTTAAACTGTCAGTTTGTTAATGTCGATAGCTTTATTAGCAAAAGCAGTACAATTTTTTTAAAGTTAGGTCTGCACAGTAACTTTTGCATAGCCCTGTATAAATAGGTGGGGGGAGAAAAGAAAATTTTCCTTAAGGTAAGTTTTTTTTACTTCTTGGGTCCTTGTCTATTCACAGTTACTTAAAAAATAAATAAAATTAGAGGATATAGGTAAGGTGCACTGGTGGCTAATAAATGGAATTTCCCCAATATACTAAAGAAGTAGCGCCACCACTCGGCTGTTATCATCGTAACAAAAGTAGAACTTTTAATAATCAGCTGTCAAGCGCTTAAGTTACAAACTCATTCTCAACTGAAGAATCGCTGTCAGAAATAGAACGAGAATTTGAGGCTGATATTGCACGCTTGGCCCGGCTAGCATATCCAGCTACTCCAGACGACCGTTATGGAACGATTAGCGGTTCAAGCCTTTTTTGGATGGACTTCGAGACAACGAAACAAGACAGACTCTAACACTGACTCGTCCGAGCCAACCGGTTGATGCATTGGCTCGAGCTTTAGAATTCAAAGCGACAAAGCAGAGCTGCAGGGGCGAGCCTAGAATTAGGAGAGTCGAGGAAGAGAAAGAGGAGCAACCCTGTATAATTAAAGCGAGTTCTTAAAGATAATCTACCAGAAAAAAAGGAAATCCGGTGTTAGATATGTGGAAAGCTAGGACATTTATGAAGTCGTTGCAGAGAAAGCCAGGTGGCGCCGACTTCATCTCAGTCCGAAAACTAGATAGGGTCGAGGAAAAGGGGCCACTGTCGACCTGTAACCAGCATGCCCCAGAAGATATTGAAGGTGTCGCATCTCTTTTACACCAGTCCAGCAACGTTTTTGTGGATGGATTTATTATTGGAAATTTTCATGTGCTGCTGCTGGATACAAGAGCGACGAAGACAATTGATATGCCAGATGTCCAATATAAAATCTACCAATCGGCGACCAAGTACTGCAACAGGAGATACGACTACTGTTAGTAGCAGATATTGAAGATGAAGTTATTGTAGGCATGGACATAATGAACTCTATAGGATTTGAACTGAACTTTCAACAAGAAATATTGAGGGTAAATGGAGAAGAAGTCGTGTTGCATCGATGAAAAGAAAAGAATATTCTTGTAATGCTAACAGAAGATGCTTTGATACCGGAACATAGTGAGATGGTATTGAAGGCTTTCTTGGATTGTAGATCAGAAGATGGAAGTATAATGCTGCTTGAACCGAGAACTGATGACAAAGAGGTCGGTCGAGGAATTGTGGTAGGGAATACTTTAATACGTGTCGGAAAAGAAGTGCCTGTAAGAGTATTGAATGTTAATGGTTACTTTGTGAACTTAAATAAAGGAATCGTTTTGCGGGACTGTTCTTTGACTGTTATTAGAAGCATTCGTGAGTCTGGAGTTCCGGCCAAGAAAATGAGCAATGAATTGTCGACTATGAACCCAATAAAAGAAAAAAGCTAAGAGAGTTGATACACAATTATCAGGGTCTTTGATGACGGACAAGGAAAGAAGGGTAGGACAAGAACTGTCCAGCATAAAATTAATACCGGTGAGCACAGCCTATTCGACAGTCGGCAAGAAGGATGCCACTTGCCATGCGGGAGGAATCTAATAAAATTGGGCTAGAAATGGACAAGGAAGGGGTAATCGAACCATTCAAATGGTCTTCCCCTGTGGTGTTAGTTAAGAAAAAGAATGGAAATCGATTTTGCGTCGATTTTCGTCAGCTGAACAACGTGACGAAGGACAGCTACCCTCTACCTAGGATCAATGACACCCTGGACACATTGGCTGGATCACAGATATTTTCAACTTTGAATTTGATGAGCAGTTATAATCTTATGGTGCCATTTCAACCTGCCAGTATACTGGAAGGTTAAAATGGCACCATAAGATAGAGAAAAGACGGCGTTTACCGTGGGTGCAGGACCGTTGCAGTTTACCATCATGCCGTTTGGGCTATGTTATGCCCCTGCAACTTTCGAAAGACTTATGAAAATGGTTTTAAAGGGACTATCTTGGAAGACATGCTTGGTGTACCTTGACGACATCATGGTTTTTGGTACATCGTGTGAAGACCATATAAGCAACCTGAAGGAAGTTTTTTAGCGCTTACCCAGTAAGCACAACGCATACGACCCGAATACGTTTTGCCGAATTGGCCGCGTGCGGCCCCACACACGTATTTCTTCCGGCGTGTAGAAGGGGCATGTCCGCCTGGCCAACTGTCAGGCATATCCGCCTGGCCGAATGTCGGCTATGTTTACTCGGCCGAGTGTCGGCTGTGTATAGTTGGCAGAGTGCCAGCCACAACCACCTGGCCATTCAAAAAAAGCCTACATGCGTCCTGGAAAATTATATTCTATAAGTTCACTCCTGAAATTCTCTGAATGGCAGAAACATTTTTAACACACTCGACTACCTAGACATTATTCGTTATTGAGCAGATGAGGATGGAGATGGGGACTCCATACAATTAATGTTCAGCTATGCCATTACGGACGCGCACTTCCAACTAAATATTGCAACCAATCGCTATTTATAGTTAGTTCGCGTGCGTAAGCAGCCGTGAGATGTATCGCTTATGCCGCGGCAGGCCGTATTCCAGCCGTAAGCGGGCCGCCTAGGGCAAGCCGCTTAAACTTCGTGACGGTTTTTTAGAGCAAATTGGATGTAAGTTTGTCAAGCCCATTTTTGTTTTGCGTAATTAATGAAAAGAAATTATGGTATATTTTACCATATTCCTTATCCTTGTTCTTTCATATGAAAGTCTAAAATTACAAATTTTACCAAAAATAAGGTTTTTCTAAACCTTTTACCATTGCCTTTCAATGAAGATAAGTTTGTCAAGCCCATTTTTGTTTTGCGTAATTAATGAAAAGAAATTATGGTATATTTTACCACATTCCTTATCCTTGTTCTTTCATATGAAAGTCTAAAATTACAAATTTTACCAAAAATAAGGTTTTTCTAAACCTTTTACCATTGCCTTTCAATGAAGATAGGTAAATCTTTTACAAACCAGAAGATATTTCTTTAGGTGTGTCTTGGTGTGAGGCAAAGTATTTGGTACCAGAAAGTTCATCAAATTTTCTTTTTTAAAAGGGAAAAGAATTTAGCTGCCTCTTTTTGCCTGTTTGGTCAGCAGGATATGGAATATGTCCATGGATTTATCATATTAGTCGATTATTTATAAGTCATCATAGTTGCCGTTTGTTAGTTCTAAAACGTCAGTTTCGGTCATCTATGGTCTTAACATACAATCGCATCGTGTTTTTGTATATTATTAACGCTTTATAAAACTTTAAAAGTATACATAATCTTAGTGCAAAAATAAAATAAAACAAAAATTTTAATTAATTAGCAGAAGTTATTTTACAAGGTAAAAACGTATTTATCAGTAAATCCTCCGACTAGGTTAGGTAAAAAAAACGTGGATTTAACCGGTTTTGCTCTAACATCCATATAGGGTTTTTTGGACCAAGTCACTTAAGTAGTCGATATAAATAAAGCTAAAGATGCAAAATTGACAAGGAAAAGATGTAGGTACGGAAAAAAATGGATATAAGTGATCTTGCTCGAATGTTCCTTAATAGTTATTGTTTTTTTGTTTGCTTTTCTATTTTTAGCCTAGGTAATATTGCGTAATTTATTTGTTTATTAATTTATATTTTTGAAGAATGGAAGATCGACAAAACCGAACTCTTCCAAATTGTGTACTTATAAAAACTTTGTGAATTTTTGTACAGGGTGATCCCCTATAATGTCGCCCCCCTTTAACTTTTTTATTTTAATTGTCCCAAAAAGTTTAAAAGTGTGGTTATGTAGGTACTAAGAAATATTTTTTTCTACGTATACAAAACAATGGAAAATTGATCAATATACAGGGAAAAACAAAAAGCTTATTTTTTTTCAATGGATCACCCTATATATGAATTTATTTTTCGATTCCTTGTAAAATTCTGAGTATAATTCATATAACAAACCATATTCCTTCCTACTAAATTCAACCGTTGCTGAAATATTCGCATTCGAAATGTTATCATTAAATGTATTTTTTAAACTGTTAAAAATCAAGAAGCCTCAGTATACCAAAATTTTTATTGAAAATAAATTACTATAGTGACATTATTTCAATAAAAAGTTTTTTTTTTCAATGGATCACCCTATATATGAATTTATTTTTCGATTCCTTGTAAAATTCTGAGCATAATTCATATAACAAACCATATACCTACTAAATTCAACCGTTTCTGAAATATTCGCATTCGAAATGTTATCATTAAATGTATTTTTTAAACTGTTAGAAATCAAGAAGCCTCAGTATACCAAAATTTTTATTGAAAATAAATTACTATAGTGACATTATTTCAATATGTCTTGTTAAATATATTATATAAGTATATAAGTAAAAATGGCGTACTCAGACAGAGAAAGAAATATTTCAGAAACGGTTGAATTTAGGTATATGGTATGTTATATGCAATATGCTTAG